TGGTACAGCCCCCGCCGCCCGCCTCGCCCCCGGCCCGGCGGTCTGCTTGGGCAGCGCCTCCCGGGTGCCCGCGGGGGGTGGAGGAGGAAGAAGGCGACAGTTGAGGGCAGAGGAGGTGAAGGTGCCTGCCTTCCCGGTAGCCTCCGTGTCTGCCGTGCCCGCTTCGCGAGGAGAAGCGCGGCAACGGCTGACCTACACTTCTCCGCTCTCTCTTTGTGCAATAAAGTTCGAAACCAAAGGTTTCTTCTCGTGCTGTATTTTGTTCATCCCTTTTCTCCCTGCTCCCACCCCACTGGGAAAACACTGTTTTCTCCTCTTTTCTGCTTAGTTGAGATGTTGAGGGCTTGTGCATTTTTTGATGATTTTGATTCTTTCCCTCACCCTCTTTTTTTTTTCCCCCCCAGTAGTCATGGAAATGCATTCTTTTGAGGAGGATGGGGGTGCTAAGAAAAACATTTGTAATAACTTTAAAAAACTGGGGATCTTGTAAAAGGGAAGCTGGTGTTTGAAAACAGTTTCGGTTTTAACCCTTTTCAATAAGGTAATCACTTGAGATCTATCATACTGAAACACTTCGTTGAAACGAATATTAGCCGATGTACTTGTGCTTTATGTCACTTTTTTTTCTTTTTCCTTTTTTTCTTTTTCTTTTTTTCTTTTTGCCAACGATGCTAACAGCGTTTGGGTCCTCTGGATCTCTCCAACCCACCTCTACCATCATGTTTATTTCCCACATATTTCTATCTAAACTTAACATATATTGATTAATACTAATTCTAAAAATAGGCGTTTAAAAGTATCCATTATTTGTCTGGTATGCAGTAGGTAACCCCAGCCTGAGACTGACAATAATTTAAGCCCAAGGCTTATTTTTTTCATTGCCTGATGGGAAAAGCCACAGCAGAAAAGTCATTGACACATTAAAGATTCAAAGATAATTTTTAAAGGACCTGGAATGTGACCTATTTAAGTTTGTCATACCTTCTTAAGTTACAATTTCATTCTGGCTTTAGCTTGCAACAGTTCTGCCTTCTAAAGGTTTAGTATAAAAGATACTTTTGGTTACCAGCTGTTGAAAATCTTTTACACTCACTCACTGCTCAATTCCTGATTTAAAAGTAAAGACAAAATGGTTATTTCTAGGTGATGCGAGAGATGAACAGTATTTTTCCCCAAAAATACTTAATCTGTCATGGTATGATAGAATTGTGATTAACACATACGAGGTTTCCTGTTAGAAATAAATATTGATTGGTAATAGAAGCACTGTCTTCTGATTTTTCTGTATCCAAGTCACTTTTCCAAAACCTACTTTGCCGTATTGCAAATCTTTATTAAAAAAAAAACAAAAAACAAAAAACATTAACAATTTGTCATCGATGAAAAACTTAAGAAGATACAGTAAAGAGTTGGAAGGATTTGGAAGATGATTTTATTTCCAGACACTGAGGAAATTATAATATTGATGATGCTATTAATTACTACTTTTCCTTAAGAGGGATTTTCTGCAAGCCAATTGAGTAAATTTTTTTCCCTTACAGAGAATATAGGACGATCGCTTCCTGAAATTAAAAAAAGTGTGCTGGTGGATTCTTATCTGAAAGAGCTTTAAGTTTTTTATTTTATGTATAGATTTATAATCTAATTGTTAGCAGTTCCAAGTGAAACTTTTCAAACTTTTCATTAATATTTGAATATTCACTTGGAGCATGGTACTAAATTATGCTTCTTCACCCTTTCAGGGATCAGTAAAAACCACAGTCAAATCTGCTTGAACTTTTTTTTCTTTTTTGATGGACACATGTAGTCAGAAAGTAAATAAATCTTTGACACAAATTGACTGATGTTAAAAGGCACTTATGGGATTTAAAACTCTAGTGTTACCCCTTTTGAATTTTTTTTTCACTTAAGAGCCTAAGGAAACTTAGAGACCTGATTCATAAAATGGCACCTTTTTCTACTTTCTGAAATTTATGTTCTTGATTAGATCTGATTAATATAAATTTTCTTTCTTCATAGAGGAGTAGCTTTATTTTGTCTCATTCTAAGACATTGAGTTTTGTTTTTTTGGAGTATAATATAGTTTTAGTAAAACCAAGAATGTATCCCCTACTTCACTCAATTAAAAATTTTTTCCCTCTTTTTCCACAGTAGAAAAAATTTTCTTGTAACATAATACTTATAATGTATCACTGAATTTATAATTTCATTTATTCCATAAGTACCTTATTAGGTATGCTTATATACACTTGTTTATAGCAGCCTGTGATACAATCTTGTAAGCATATCTTTCTTGATGTACACAGTGTAACTTCAAGTGTTGGCTTTGTTGAATAGTTAGAACTCAAATCTGAATATAAAGATATGATAGGGAATGGGAAAAAATGCAAGGAAGATTTTTTTTTCTTATTCATGTGTGAACTCATTTCCACTGCAGTATCACTTGAGACCACCATTGCAGTAATTCGAATATTTAGTTAGCATTTACTATGACAGAAAGTAGTTAGTGGAAAGAGCCATTAGGTTTGGAATCACTGTTGCCACTACTGTCATATGACTACCTCCAAGAAATATTGTGACTTAAGGGAGGTTTCTTAATCTTTCTCACCTCAGTTTCCTTTTCTGTTAAATTAAAATAATACCACTTACTTTATAGGGTTAGGAGATAATTATAAAGTACCTCCTTAGGGACTCAGTGATAGATATTCATTTTTAAGCTTTATTTTAACTTCCTGGCTGTGGACATTAGGCAAGTTTCTTCATAAATTTTCTTGGTCATAAATGTACAGTATCCACCTCATAGAAATATGGGGATTAAGTGATACATATAAACTGTTTAAATAAAGTAATACATGTTAAATGCCAGGCATTGTATAAGTGTTCAACAAATGTCTCCTATTTAAAAGTTATTCATCCTTATTATTGTGTTTAATACACTGGAGCAAAAGCTGCAGCAAATCCAAAGATGAATTACACTGTCTCATCTCTACTCTAAAGGAACTTTTGGGGACTCGATGACTCATAAGGCAGAATATATGTCATAAGAAAGCAATCAAAGGAAAAAGAGATCATACTTGGTGAAATAATGGAAAAGAAGAATATTATAGTTTTATATTTACAGTTTTATTTTTAATAAGTAATTCATTCAGATAGTTAAAACATAAAATATAGAAAATATCTTCTGTGTGTGTGTCACCTTTACGCCCACCCCAGTCACCCAGGTGTTACTAATTTATTTGTCCTTTCAGAGGTATTCTCTCCATACACAAGCAAATATGTATTAGTTCCCCCTTGTTATACAAATGATAGTATACTATATACACTATTGTATATCTTGCTTTTTTTTTTAACTTAATATTGCTGGACAGTTGGTTCAGTACTTAAAGAGTTGGTTGTTTTTTTTTTTTATGTGTGTGTATTTCATCTTATGGATGTAACTATTTATTAACCAGTTAGTGAGCTGATTTTATTTTTAGGATATCATATGACCTTTTAAACTAAGGGAATCTGTCATTATACCTTTATTTCTTTAAATGAAAGGTATTTCACTTGAATGAGAAATGGCAAGAGAAACTTCATGACAGGAAGTTATCATTTGAACTGCCTCATTACCTTTTTAGCTTTAGTGCACGAAAAGACAAGTAAACTGTGTAAGAGTTAACTATGAAGGTGAATTTAACTCTCTCTTGTTGAGGTTCTTATAGTCTTCAACAAACTGCTGCTACTGCCTTCTATTATTGTTTCATCCAAAAAAAAGTCTCTATAGTTCTTCTCTAAATGAGAAAGAACATCTCATGTAGTCCAGTCCTTTTTTTAGCAGACTATTCTCATGGAATAGTAAAACCTAGTAATGCTGACGAGTGTACTAGCTTTTCTCTCGTGTTTATTTTTTACATACTCATTAACTTATTCTTTGCTGGTTTTCTAATATTTTTAGTGTAATTATCGGTGTTTTATATTTGATACCTAAATAATGAGTTTCAGCTATATGCTTGTGTACTGAGACAACTGCTTAGATGATCTCCGCCCCACCCCCCACCCCCCATTCTACCCCCCTGTGGAAGTCCTTGGTCAACAAGTTGGATCAAGTAATACTTACTTCAACTAGAGCACAAAGTAAGTTTCATTGCTTCTCTTTTTCTTTTCTTTCTTTTTCTTTTTTTGGCTCTTCTAAGCAGCATTTAACCATAGTACATTTTAAATATGCGTGCTGGTAGTGTATTTATCTTTAAAATACACGTGCTATAAACTTTTACATTGATTAAACTTAGAAAGAAAATGATAACTAATCATCCAGCAGCAGGGGCACAAATAAACCCCTTATCTTTCAAAAAAAACAAATCATTAATTGAAGCTGTCTTGGTGTATTTCATTCTTTATATGCTCAATTTGACAGTTACACATCCTAAAGTTTTTAATGTTAACAATATTGCCTTATTTTGAGGATTCATTAGTGTTTTTA